GCTCCGGGACGAGCTGCCCGCCGCCGGCCCGGCCCCGCCGCAATCACGAGCCGCGGCCGCAAATCGGAGAGAAAAAGTTTTGCGCGGGCTCCCCCGGCCCCGGGAAGGGGCAGACGCGGCGGCGCCCCGGCGAGCCCCCCGTGCCCCGCCCGGCACCGCGCCCCCGCAGCCCTCCGCAACCCGCCGCGGGCACCGCACCCCCGCAACCCCCGGCTCGGCATCGCCGGCAGCGCCCCCGCAGCCCCCGGCCCCGCCCGGCCCCGCGCTGCCCCCGCGCACCGCCGGTCTGCCCACGGCCACGGCCATCGCGGTGCGGTGCTGAGCGCTGCGCCCTGCGCTGCCGGCCCGCCGCTCTGCGCCGCCTGCTAGCACTGCAACATGGCCACCCGGCGGGGAGGGCCCATGCGCAATGCAAAGGGGCCGGGCGGCGAGGCGGGACCCCCCCGGCCCTCCCCCGGGCACAACGGGCAGCGCGGGCGGCCGGCCGGCGCCGCTCCGCCGCGCGGGGAGCCCCGAGAGCCGGCTGCAGCCCCGCGGGGCTGCGCTCCATCCCCGGCGCTGACTGCACTAATCCCTCTCCCGCCCGCACCCCCCCGCCCCGAGCCGGGCCGCTGATACAGTCCCCTTCATCCCAGAGGGTCACTCTCTGCCACCCTGGCAGCACGGCAGCTGAAAGCACAGATTCATCTGCTCCAAGGACCCTTGAAAGAGATAGCCAAGCAACCGACCAACAAGGTTCTCCTATCGCCAGTTTGGTGAAGGAGGAGACCGGGGATTCGGCAACGAGATACTCAGAGAGGCACACAGGAGCCCCTGGCCCCCTTGTATAACGACATAGAGGGCAAAACCTGACACCTCACTCCTCTCATTTCTCCGAGCTCTTTTCTCCCGTCGAACACACCTACACTTCGTTTTTCAACCAACTGGGTATACCGAACAACAGCACAACAGCCATGGTGGCCAGTCACTCTCCCACTTCACAAGTGATTTCCAGGGATGAAGTGAAGCGCAGCTGGCTCCTTGACGCTCCAACTGACAAAACACTTAACATCCCGTTGTTAAGCATGACATCCCTTTACCTGCAAAGGTGGGAGTCTTAGAGCTAAACTTAACACGTCTGCTTGCAAATCTTCAACCAAGGTAGTGCCCTGCAGTGCTCTGTGAGGCACAGACCCGCAAAAGGCTGTGGAAAACACAGACCCAATTTGCTGCACACAGGAAGGGTACATTGAATTCCAGACACATCAGAGCTACCCCTATATGTGAACATCCATCGAACCAAACAAAAAAAAGCCAGCAGGATAAAAAGCTGAGAGCACCTTCTACAAACAAACAACCCAGGGTAGTGGTAAGCAAATAGACCTCAACAATGCACTTACCATTTGTACGCTTTTTGACATCAAGCTCGTACCTTTTCCCTCCAAAGCCCATTTTTGCATGGCTATGAAGAAGCACGTGGCTGTCTGCAGAGGGCTACAGAGTATCTCCCTCCTGCAGCTTTTTTTTTTTTTTTTTGATCTCGTGTGGAAGAACTCGGGAGCTGATCTGTCAGAGTGTCACCCCCAGGCTGAGCCAGAAACAATGGAAGTGCACGAGCACTACCCGGCCCTGCCGCCCCTCAGGGGCTGAGCACCTGCACCTGGACAGTGCCCTTAATGAGGCACAGCTGCTCCACCAACGGACACTGAGGGGGTTCTACCTGGAACATTCTGGAAGCATAGCTGATGCAGGGCTTTTATGACACATCTTAAGTGTCCATGCTAATATCCAAGGGAGGCTTCGATGTTAGACTCATTAATGCTCCTGTAGCAAATTCCTCCTCCACACAGGGCTCTAGGTGAGGAGGTGCTAAGCGTGCCTGCACTGGGAAATGTGCCCGGACCAGTGCAGCCTCTAGTGGAAACCTGACAATCGTATCTCAAGAGCTGCCCTTGTTGCACCTATGGGTGAGGCAGACGCTGCTTCCCCTGGACTGAATTAGAGGCACTCATGATACTCCCGCATCAGCACAACTTAACCAACACGAAAATCTTCTCCGCTCGCAAACCCTTGATGTGACTCACCGTGTCCTTCCTTGGCCCGGAGCTGGGAGAGCTGTGGTCGAGTAGTCTCCACGATACTCATGCATACACACCTCCCTGGGTACGGCTGTTCATGCTGAAAGAGCAGGGGGGAAAAAAAACATCAACACCAAGAAATGTTCTGCAATCTTCCCAGATCTCAGCTAGTGTAGTTCCTTGCATTCCTAGTGTTCACTGGAAAGAAGCAGACCCCTAGCTCCTGAAAGTTTCATAACTGCTGCTAACAAATCTGTTCCCAAGCCAAGGGAATTGCAAGTCCCTCATCCTAGAGACCCCGTAGGAGTTGCTTCCATGTTTCCAAAGTTGTTTGGCATCATTTTATAGACACGGCAGGTCAAGGTTTAATGCTCTTTTGTGTCAATGGCAGGGCAACTTGTCTGTTAAAGGGGATGAGAAGATACACTAGCAGACACAGAAGTTTGGTAACTTACCTCCTATTTATGAACAAACCAGATACATAGCTCACTAAAGGCAACAAGCTACAAGACTAAGTGGTGGGCTTATTTTTGATTCTTTCATGGTGAAGTAATGCTTTATCCCGCCTCTGTTTTGTGATTCTGACTACTCAGAGCTCACTCAAATTTCACCCAATGAATCGAGAGACCTGCTGTTTAGGTGGGGGTAAAAACCTCACCTGAAACCAGGACAATGTGATATCATGGAAAGCCTCCTGCTTATGCCTCAGTTCAATAAGCCAAATACAACTTTCCTAGTTGTATTGTCACGTGCCACTGTTGTTTACTTGGATGTTTTATCTTCACAGCCTACTCTCCTTTCTTATTTGTGATCACGACTACACCATTACGCTCCATTCATTTCATCTCAGATGCCTCCACTGAGAGTGTGCTGCTAACAAATGCTGTTTTGACTGAAATCCAGGGCTCATCAGAAGAAGAGGGAGAAACATATTTATGCCTGGAAGAACTGCACCAGAAGCACGTACAAAATGATAAAATAAGAACATAAGCCTCTTCCCAGCACCTGTGCCCTACCCAAATGAACACTGCTAATGGGATATAGCTTGCACACATCATCAATTGCAATCTCTGCCCGTGGTTTGTCAGGGTTGCACACACTTCTGGGTTTGCAGCAGGCTGGAGGATATTCCAGCTGCTTACATGACAGGCAGCTAAAAATATTTACGGATAGCCGTGAGCCTGCAGCAGAGATGGTTTGTGGAGCGTGACTTAGGGCCTGATCCAGATCTCTTTACAGCCAGTGAGCTTACACTGAGTTCAGTCCCTCCGTGCCTCTGTTCCCTGATTGTAAGGCAGAAAAGCCAGCACACCTTCTCTCCTACACTTTCCACCCACTATCCACTCCCCAACTCCTCGAGACAGGACCTGTCAGTTGTTTGGTGCGCACAGGGCACGATGCCCACCGGAGCTCTGACCTTACCCATCCCTCTCAGCTGTTACAGATGCACTTGTGATAACAGAGTTAGCAATAAAGAACAACGTGAGATCCCCACGCTAGTACGTGTGTCCTGCCCACCTCAGCCTCGCAGTGGATACAGAGATGAGATGAGATATGATTTGACTGCAGGCACTCTTGGTATTTGTGTGTGGTTGTCGTACATGGGTACAATCCCACACACTTGTAATATCAGCTCGCTCGAACCACAGCACATTCGTGACTCTTTATTGCCGGTTTTCCTAAGTAGCTGAATCACAGGGCAGTTCAGGTTGGAAGGCACCTCTGGACATGGTCTGGTGCAGCCCCTGCTCAGGTGTACCATGGAGCATCTCCTGAGGATGGAGACCACAACCTCTCTGGGCAAATTGTTCCAGTACTTGACCACCCTCACTATAAAATAGATTTTCCTCACACACAAACAGAATTCCTTGAATTTCAGTTTGTGTCTATCATCTCCTGTCCGTTCGCTGCCATAATGACTGATAAACCACTCTTTCTCCTCACTACCTGCCAGCAAATGACCCTCGCACTTCTCAACTCCTCCAGTCCCCGTATCCTGCTTTGCCCCTTCGCTGTCACTCCAGCTCGCCACCCCACGGGCCACCACCCCGGGCAAAGGCGACCGGGCGGTGGCGGCCCGGCTGCGGAGGAGGAGGAGGAGGCGGAGAGGCCCGTCGCGGCAGGAGGCGGGTTTCCCCGCCGCACCTGGATTCAGCGCCGAGCACCGAGGCACAGCACGGAGCACCGAAAGCCGACCGGCCCGGACCATGGCGCGGGAGCTGAGCCAGGAGGCCGTGCTGGACTTTCTCTGGGCGGCCGGGGGGCGAGCCCCTAACTCGGCGCTGCTCCGCCACTTCCAGCGCTTCCTCCGCGACCCGGCGCTGACGGAGCAGCAGCGGCGGGAGCGCCGCGAGTACTTCAAGAGCCTTGTCAACTCTCTGGCCACCGTCCACCCAGCCGCCGCCCCCGGCGCCTCCAAGGACATCGTCCTCCGCCGCAGGTACCGCGACCTCCTCGATGAGGAGCTGCCGCCGCCGGAGGAACAGCGGGAGGAGGCGAGGAAAGAGCCGGAGCCGCCGCCGCCCCGACGCGACCCCGACGGGCGGCGCGGCCCCCGCGGGGAGGCGGCGGAGCAGGGGCAGCCGTGTGGGAGGCAGCCCCCAAGGAGCACCGCCGTGTCGGGGGGCTGCTCCGCCCGGGGCCGCGGCGGTCCCTGCTGCGAGTGCCGCCGGGCGCGCCGCGCTGCAGCCGCCGCAGCGGCCGTCCCCTCGCCGGGCCCCGGGGCACCGCCCCGCTCCCCGCCACCCCCTAGGCAGCCGCCCCCGTACCGGACCCAGCCGCTGTCCTCGGGGCCCTGGGCGCCCCGTCCCGGCGGCACACCGCCCTCCCGGCCCCCGCTGCTGGCCTCGGCTCCTGGAGCCCTGGCCCCTGCTATGCCCCCCCGGTCCCCATCGCCGCCGCTGCCTGCCGCCGGGCCGCCCCCTGCCACACCGTCCCTCTCCCGGTCCCCACGGCTGCCGTCGGGCCCGGGGCTGCCTCAGCCCCAGTCGTCGTCGCAGCCCCCGACCAAGATGCCCCTACTGAGGGCCCCAGCGCCCTCAGCAAGCCTGAGGGGGCGACCCCCCATGGGACCTTCCCAGTCCCCGCTGCTGTCATCGGGCCCCAGGGCGCTGTCCCCCACCGAGTTGCCTCCATCCCGGTCCCTGCCGTTGCTGTCCGCGCCCGTGGAGCTGCCCCCATCCCGGTCTCTGCCGTTGCTGTCCGCCCCGGGGGTGCTGCCCCTGTCCCGGTCCCTGCAGGCACTCCCTGCCAGCCCCTCCCCATCCTCACGGCTTTTATCAGACCCAGAGGTGCTCCCCTCAACTAGGCTGCCCCCATCACAGTCCAGGTCCCTGCAGCAGCTCCCCACCAGGCCATCCCCAGCCCTGCCGAGGGGATCCAGGGGGCTGACCCCGAACGGACCAACCCAGTCTCAAGTCCTGCTGCTGTACCCACGCCAAACCCTCACACTGCCGTCAGGTCCTGAGGTCCTACCCCCTACCAAGCTACCCCCATCCCAATCCCTGCCGCACTCCCCCACTCAGCCAGCTCCATCCCGCTCCCTGCAGCCACCCCTTTCCAGGCCACCTCCATCCCAGTCCTTGCAGCCAGCACAGGGTCCCGCAGTGCCTCAAGCCCCAGAGGGCTGTCCCCCAGCACCACTGCCTGTCTTCAGGAGCATAAGGTGCCAGCTCGCTTTGTCGGAGGTGCAGAGCACTCCGCTGCCCGAGGACTGTGGGCGGCAGCCCCGCACCGCGCTCTCCAAGAGCTCCCCTAGGAATGCCCTAAGCCGGGGGCCGTCGGTGCCACTGGGACAGCGGGAGCATGCCTGGCTAGTGGCGATGTCAGCGGGGTGCTGGGCACGGGTGCGGGGGCTCTTCCTGGAAGAGCCGGAGCTGGCCCTGCTGCGGGACTTCATGTCAGGCTTTACGGTCCTCCACTGGCTGGCCAAGCACGGCGACGGGCCCGGCCTGCAGGAGCTGGCAGTGGCGGCACGACAGGCGGGACTGGCCCTGGACGTGGATGCCCGCTCGGGCTGCGGGTACACGCCGCTGCACCTGGCTGCCATACACGGCCACCAGCTTGTCATCAAGGTGCTGGTGCTGCAGCTCGGCTGCCAGGTGCAGGTGCGGGACTGCAGCGGCCGCCGGCCCTGGGAGTACCTGGGCGGCTCCACCTCGGGGGAGATCTGGCAGCTCCTCGAGGCACCCCGTGGCATAATTATGTTCCCCACGCAGCCCCTGGCCCGCAGCGTGTCCTCTGTCAGCAAGGTCTCGCTGTCCACTGGCAGGGCAGCGCTACCCTCCTGCCTCAAGGTGCAGCATGGCCGTGGGGCGGCATCCCACCGATCCAGCAGCGAGAGTGACTGAGGGATGGCTCCCTGGCATCCCCTGCCAGTGGAGACGGGACCTTGGGGGCCCTCCTGCCAGAGGCAGAACTAAGCTGTGAAACAGACTGAACCTACTGCAGAATGTACTTTTAAATTATTCCAATGAACCGTTGTCTAAGCCTCTTTGCCCTCCCTCCCATTTCTTGCTTTTCTAGCTGTGAGAGGATGCAGTAACTCTGCGGGAAGCTGGCAGAACCCTTGGGAATCAAGTCCTCTGCAGCCCACAGGGCTGGCACCAGCTGCTGGGTGCAGCCATGGTCACCAGTTAGTGGGACCATGGGGCTGGGGTGAAGCTCAAGCCTGGCCCCAAGCAGGGTGGAGCACTTGCTTTTGCTGACAGCGACAAACTGTTGTTGGTCCCGGTGTTTGCAAAACACTTGTTTACACCACCTAAATTCTGATGAGTGGTAAAACTGCATCCCTTTTTAATCCCAGCAGATTAAAGATGAGTCCTGCTTTTAAAAATGCAGCTGATCAAGATCCAGCCTTCCAGCAAGAGTCCTCAGAGCCACTGGCTGAGGCAGAGGGCAGCAGTGGGAGAGCCTGGAGTAGGGAAAGGTGTTTCCCAGGTCACCTTGCCCACCAGCCCATTCCCAAAGGAATGCAGGGCAGCATCACTGCCTTGCTTCCCTTCTCAACTGCCCGGGGCTGCCCAGCAGCATCGATGCTGCTCCCTCATTCCTGCATCTCTAGCTGCTCTCCTCACACCGCCAGACTAGGAAGCGGTACCCACACTGTGGCTAGAGCCCTGTTCCCACACCCAGGCACGGAAAGCGTTGCAGCAGGAGTCTCTGTTGGGCGGAAATTGAGCTGTAGTACGGGTCCCAAACTTGCAGGGAGAAGGCGGGTTCATAACCAGAGCGGCATTTCCCCAGACACCCCAGCCCCAAATTGCCTATTAGGTGTTCATGTGATGGGAGCAGGTGGGACTGGGGGGCCAAGTGCAGTGAAGAGATATCCAGTGCAGTCATTCCTCAGAGCTTACAAACAACAAGCTGTCTTTAGGTGTATCACTGGATTATGTGGGTCCTACAATGCACTCTGCTCTCTGATTTAGCATAAATGAGCTTCTAAAGCATCAAAAATGCAGTAAGTTAATCTTGCACCCGACCTGGCTCTCCTATAGATCCTTTCTGAGGGCAGGAAGAGAGCTAAGATTCATGAGACAGAGATCCATCACTCCCTGGCTGATGCTCCTGCTGCTGGGTGACCCCAGCTGTAGGACCAGTGAAACTGGGGCTGCTGGCTCTGTGTCAGTGGGAGGCTTTGGAGCAGACCACAGTAGGTAGGTGGGACTGCTCATGTACTTGAGGCATGTGCCTAAATGGCTGCAGTTTCGGGGAGGAACGGGAATGAGGGCAGCAGAACCTGACCCTTGCATAACACGCGTGCCAGGGAATGCCTCGAGTCCTTGCTCAAGCACTAATTGAGGTCTCTGCTTTGCTCTGGGTTTATTTGAGGGAGGAACTCTTTCCTGCAGAAGGGAAGCTACTCTGCCTGACTCTGTAGCCACGAAAGGCTGGAGCCTTTTCCCAGCTAGGTTTTCTCTTTTTACGGGGGAAAGAGCTCAGTAAACCTAGGCAGTGTCCCGTCAATGATCATTCCCCTCTGAGAGGACAACGCAAACTTGAACTCATAAGAAATCCAGCTCTGAGGTGGCCTCTGAGCCATTGGCATGGGCACTTGGAGGGCCCTCCAGGACTACCCCACAGCAGGAGGAATCCTGTGTATCTCCCTTCCCCTTCCATCCAGCTGGGGATTATGGAGCCTTCCTGTACATGGAACTTCATGGAAGGAACCCCAAATGAAAGAATTTTGTGAGCTGACTAAAGCCGTCTGGTGGGAGCATATTGTTTCTCCACAGACACCTGCAGCTTCCAAAGGATAAGGTTTTTCCCTTTCCATGCTGCTGAGACAGTGCTGCCTTGGAATTCTCATTTTACAGCCTTTCCACGACCTTTCTCTGTGATGCAAAACCTAAGTGGCACTTTGTTTTTCTGCACACTGTTGTGTGTCATCTTCTTCAGAGCCCTTTTCTCTCCCCAGCAGTGTTGTTAGGCTGCTGAACTAAATAAGTTGTGACCTAATTTTGTGACCACTGATTGCTTGCCAGTTGAGATGACACAGATAAGCCGCTTTCTCCAATTTTTAAATTACAAGGCAACTGTCAGGAAGTTTGAAAGTGAGAAAAAACTTTCCATACTGGATCCATTGTGCATTCACTCTGGTTTATCACCTTAGTGATATTCAAACTGTTAATATTGGTAATACTGCACAGCTCCTACACCACACTTTAAAAGCAGTCAGTCACTGCTTTTGGTAATGACCACTCTTTTAACCCACAGAAAGCCTCATCCTCCAAGCTTTGTGCAGGTGAAGTAAGCAAGGGACAGGATGAAACCCATCTCCAGCCTGCTGTGGAAGGCAGGGCCAGATCTTTTATCAGCCATGCCTGGAGGAATCACATTGCTGCCCTGGTGCATCACAGATCCAGTCACCCAGGAATAATCCACCACTGGGTATACACATATGCAGCCTGAGTATCTCAGTTTCAAAGCTCTCCTGACATCCTTACTACTTACTTGTCAGCCTGCCTGGCCCCTTCCACACCTGTGCACGCTGCTGTTTCCTCATTGCAGCTGGACGTGGCTCCTGGATTCACACCCAATCCAGGCATCTGATTTTGCGCCACCCTGAAACACAGGACATGTCATAGATTAATGCACAGCAGGACTCTGCCCTCTCCTCTCATTGCATTTGAAAACACACCTCCCACTTGTCAGCTGTTGATGATAAAGTCCACCCCTCTGCTCTTTAATGCTTATCTCTGCTTTGTACTCCAAAAACCATGGCCTTCAGAGGACTGTTTTTTCACACAGTGGCCTTTGCCCATCATGTCCTGTCAAGCCCGAGCACCCAGAGCCTTACAGAGTTATGGTGAAGGTAACCCTGAAGGCACAGTTCTCCCTTGTTACCACCCCCTGCTCCTGGGACACACACTGTTGCACACACTCATCAGGTTGCTAAAGGCAGACAGCCCAGCAGAGCTGGATGTGCACCTTGTGAAGGCCTCGATGACGCTCCCAAACTGTGGCTCTGGTGACACTCATGCCACAGCCTTCACTCAGGAGCTGCCCAGGGGAGCTGGCAGTCCAGTGTGATTGCACAGCTACTCACAAAGTCTATTTGTTCATTGCCAGCTGGCCTTTGCCTACAGGGTCCCTGTCCCTTAAGCCCAACAGAATGGCTTCTTAAATGCCAGGAGATGGAGCCCAGTGCTTACACCAGCACCCAGCAGTGCTGGATGGGTAACGCAGCACAGCATAGGGAGCAGTTGAGTCCCATTTTGGGGCAGGGATATTCCCTGAACAGCTGGCATTTCTAAGGCTGCCATGGGAAGCAAGGACCAAAATCTTTGCTTCCTCCTTGCTTCAGGGCCTCTGTGAAAAGAGTTCTTGGGTTAAATATTTTCTTCTGGCTTTCCTGACACACAGCTCTAGACTGAAGGAATGTTCTGATGGATTTGATACCACAAGAGGTGTTTTATGGCCTTTAATGTAGCCCAGAATATTCTAGTGCAAGTGGGAATTAGAAGAATTTGAATTAGTGTGTGTCTCAGACCTGGAGTCCCATAATAACTCCGCAGGGAACAAATAGCTTTGCACAGCCAGGCACGGGGCAGGTGTTATCTCAGCTTGTCCAAAGTCCACGTGGGAGCTGCATGTCAGTGGTAAACAGAAGAGAATGTTTAAGGGAAATGGGAAGGTCTCGAGTGTCACTCAGAGAGGACAAGAAGTACCTCCTGGGCCTCAGTGGGGAGCGTTGTTGCTCCAGGGATGCAGAGCTGTGTTCCCCCTTCAACAAGCACTGCACCCTCCTTATCTCCCTCGTGGTTCTCACACTGCCTGGAGAGGGTATCTAGAGTGGCCTGAGAACCAACTGGGCAGCTGATAAGGATGAGGGCAGGGTTTGCCCTCAGAGCAAGGCTGTTTGCGAGCCTGGTATGGGCCAGGGAAGACAGGGGGGCCCAAGGGAGAAGTACCAAGAGTAGGAGATGTGAGCTCACAGCAAGCACAAGAAGCTGACAAAAACCATCAGAAATCCCTACACATGAAGACTGGTTTCTGGAGAGGGGGCTGAGCAACGTTGTTTCACAACACAGGGCATGTATGTATCAAAACACACCTGTTTCCAGAAAAAGATGAGGCACTGCATGGCACCATACAAAGCTGTACATCTCATGGACTAGATGTGGCTTAAGTGTTTTAGAGGGAAAAAGAAGGAATGCAGTGCTCTTGCCAAGGCAGGGCAGCTTCCAGGCAAGTGGCTTTAATAAATCTGTCTCCAGGAGGTCACTAAGCCTGGCAGCCTGGCCTGCAGGCTAAGGCGCACAGATGGGCACAGCCAAGGGAAGTTGCACATCTTCCTTTGCATAAACACTAGAGCTGGTTTAGTCATCTGCTGAATGGCGGGCTCAAGGGGAATGCAGATGCTTGAGTTCAGCAGTTATTTGCATCTGATTTGGATTTTTTGTCTCTTTGCTTTATAAATACTGACTAGATGATTCAAACAAAGATCTTGCAACTCTGCCCTCTCCCTGGTTCCTGGTACTGCCTCACAACAAGGCCAAAGTTGCAGTTCCTGGTGGTTGCCTGTTGATTTCATGCTGGGTCACTTTTTAGCTGCTAGATGGTCTGTGCTGGAGAAGAGGAGCAATCAGCTATGGATCTGTGTGTCCAAGCATTCAGACACGGCACCTGGAAAGTCCTACTCCTCCTGCCTGTGGTCAAAGGGAAGGGTGGATGCAGTGGTGCTTCCCTTGGATTTCGGGATTGTGCTAACTTTGGCAGGCATGCTGCAACCCCGGCCCTGAGTCACGGCTGAGGCCGTGGCCATGAGTCACACTCTCCCAATTCTTCCTGTCACTGTGAGAAATCCTGTCTGCCCTCCCTTTTCCTCGCGTCCTGCAGTGCCCAGGGCTCCCCACTGCTGCCTCATTTCATCATGCTGCGGCCAGAATCCTTTCATGGACCCAGC